AGCAAAGAGTCCCTAAATCTCTAAATGCCTCATGCAGGCACAGCAAATAAATGATCTGGGGTGGGAGATGACAATCTCTGAGACCCAAGAGGATGGGGGAAAAATGCTGAGAGCTATAAAAAAACCTGTCAAGTGTATCATCTTGCTGTAGCGCTCCTCTTGTTAAAGATGCAGGAGTACTTGCAGCTGTTAAATACTGAGGAGAAACAGCTTAACATCCAAGTGTCGCTCTCAGAGGGGATCTTATAGAGCAATGAGATTTTTAACAAGCTGATGAAAACTTGAAGGACACCAAAACTAGATGAGATACTAAGAAAAAATACCCAGCACATACAATTCTAAACTATATGCAAACATATATAACCCTGTGTGTAAAAGCCTCCCACAAAGGCCCTGAAGGAAGAAATGGCGCTTACTCACGTACACGACGTTCGTACCCAACTCAACAAACTAACGCTGTGACTGACGCGCTCTGCACTCGAATGCAACAGAAAACCAAGGCATTGACCAGCTGCAGTCTTGAAAGATAGGAGGGCTCTCAGGAAGAGCAGATGTTAATCTGTGTTCAGGCCATTTCCCTGAGCTCCCAATTTTCAAGGGCAAGAGTACGCTGGTTCACCCCGAGCCCTGCGCCGTGACAGTGCAGCAGACTACAGGAAACAGGTTTGTCCCAGAAGGTGCTCAGTGACACACTCAAAATAAATGAAAGGACTTCACGATGTAATAAAAATCAATGGAAGGACTTCAGGATCAAAGGCATGGTGTAAAATGTTAAAACATTTTCTGTCTCAAGGTCATCCACACAAAACCTATTATGGATTCTGTAATAATAGAAGCAGTCGCTTCGATGAAATTAATTTATTTTGAGAATATCCCTTTTAATCCTCCATGCATTTTTTAGCACAAAAAGTTGGAATTTATCAGAACCTCCTTCATAAAACTTAATATTGTGTGTCTGGTACTGTGGCTGTTTCAACAGTTCATCATTGGAAATCCCACACTTGGCAACGCCGTCAGTAAGCGACCTACACAAAGTTCAATAGAAAAATTTTACTGAATATCTGCTGTTTAATGTAAACAAGGCAGGAGGCAAAACAAGGAGTACATATTTTATATAGTTACACTATTTTACAGGGCACAGAAAGCATTAAGGATCATGGTTTGAAAACCCTGTATGAGATGCAGTATCAGATATGGATTTTCCATGTAGCCCCAAGTCTACTACATAATCCTTCGATTTCACCTAGCACTTCAGTTTAGTATTTCTTTTAGCAAGACAAATAGCAATAATAAAATGTCATCTGTGAAATGATACAGCAGGTTATGGTATAAATTACCATGCGTTTGCAAAGCCATTCCATGGTTACTTGTGCCCTGTAAAAACGAGTGCAACAATCTTTACACTAATCATAGTGTAAGCAAGCTCGGGATTCTGGTCCTTATATATACATATATATGTATATATATACATAGGTGATGTACAACCAGACTCAAGCTGTGTATCAAGTCACAGCTTTTATATTGCACACACAAATACATAGTAAGAACATTACACAGACAGGATCTGAATACCAGGAATATTACAGTTAATATGAGAAACTAAGGACAAACTTGTTCTACCAGAGCTAGCACATGGCTTATTACAAAATTTTCTATATTGGAGTCTAAATCAAATACATACTATAAATGGAAAAAAAGTCAAAAGTGTGTCTATTTACACACATGTGCACCAGGATTAAAATATCGTTTGGATCTGCTTTTTGACACAAAAAATCATCCTAGTATTACCTCCCACGTATTTCAATCTAATACCAGTGGCTGTATTTTCTAAGGTGATGAGCACTTGCATTTCCCGCTGGCATCTGAAGGATCTGCACATGCTTTGAACTTCAGGCCATGTATTTTCTCAGGTGTCCCTCTCTGGGTAATAAATAACCACATACAAACACACGCACACAGAAACAGAATGGGCACCTCACCTCAATGACATGCATAGATAGGAAAGGTGAAAACATGGACCTGAACTAACTTCTACCCTTCTTTTTCTTAAAACAAAAAGTGCATGAAAAATATCATCACAAAAATAATTAAACGAGTTCCATCTCTTAAGGAAGATTAAATCACTTTTACAAAAATAAAGGTCATTGCCATCCTGTACGGTAATGAAGGGTTTGTAGGCAGCTCTCACAAAAGCAGTTCAGGCTAAAGCAACTTCAAGGACTGCTCCAATTCCATCAGGATGGATCCATGTCTTCTAAATTTATCCCCTAAATAACGTTTGGTTTGCAAGGACACCACCCATGTTGCTGGAGACCGAACAATTATATCCTGAACTTAAGAGTGCTTATAGTCATACCTGCTCATTTTTCTCATGGACAAGCTTGAAGGAATTGTGTTTGCAGCACGGTAAGACTGTTTTGCATTAAAATGCCACAGAGGTTGCAGCAGTCCTTCCAGAAGCTGACTGATACAATTCCTTTCGTTGTAATGAGCTCAGGTATCGGTGAAAACAACAACCACAACAACAACAAAAGAGGTGATGTTAACGCTTTCATTTGAGATCAGGCACCTCTTGAATGGCTTTATAAATTGTTATATTACTTGGAATGCTCTTGCACGGTTCGTTTAACACTTCTCTCACTTTCATTTATAGCAGGATTATCACTACAAGTTTCCACTGAAATTGGGACAAGTATTCTGGAACGCACTAAAAAAATAAATAATAAAAATAGAAAATTTGAGGAACAAGTAATTAAGCTCAAGCAAAACCAACAAAGACCCAAATTCAGTAAAGCATCAGCATTTGTGCTCAACAGCTTAACTTTGTTCAAAAAAAAGACTGATTTAAGAATAAAATTCTTGAAATTAAGCTTATGTTTAACTGCTTTGCTGCACTGGGACCTTATTTATAACAAATGTATGTATTAACATCACTCTGCATAGACATTTACATGTTCTAAACGATGTGTCAGGTACGTTACATTAACGAAGCTTCTAACACGGGCTGACTGCAATACCTATCACTACAAATTATTTGCTACTTTCACGGTATGTTTCTGAAGAACAAAAATGAAAAAAAGTGTCATTTTTTTAAACTTTATCCTACTATGCTACTCTGACCTGAAAACACTTTGGGGCTAAATTCAGGAAAAAAAAAAGGTGAGAAAGTAAAACGTGCTTTTCTTTGCCAGATAAATACAACACTTTGTACTAAAGCCTTCCGGTACAGGGAGCCACTGAATACAGGTTTTACCTGCCAAAATGTTTCCCCAGTTCCAGAACTGCTCTCTCCAGCTGAACCTGTAGCGGAAGCTTGTACAGCAGAACCCTCTTCACTGTTGTGACAAGAATAAATTTAGCCCATTAAGTGTGACACTGTTCTAATTAACCTGCTAACTTAAAAGGCCTCTCAACATCCAGGTTCCATAAATATTAAAAAAACCCAAGACCTCAAAGGCATGGTACAGTCACGTAAATCCAGAAAAATTCTAACAACGGAGTAAATTAGTCTGTATTTGCGTATGAGCAACCACACCTGAAAGGGGCGTTGGCTGTGCAAAAAGGACAGCGGGGCAGACAAAGGAAGAAATGCCACGCACACACGAGGAGCCGAACTCTGCCTCGCCTGCCTACGCTGCTACGCCCACGGGAGCAGAGAGAGGCACCACGCACCCGTGCGGAGGGCAGGACGGGTCTCTCATCCGAGCCACTCGCTGTGCCTTGAAGGTTCAAGCGCCGCCGCCCGAACCCGGCAGCGCCTCCGGCAGCCAGCAGCAAGGGGTGACTGAAGTGCCGGCTGCCGCCGGGCTAGGGGAACAGAAGCAGAGCGTGCTGAAGGGCGACCGGCCCGCTGCTTGCAGTGCAAATGCCTGCCCTGGCTGACTGTATTCACTGAGACATTGCTGCACCCCGGCGCTAGGCAAAGCGGGTGCAAATTTTGGTCCTATATACGGTATCAGCGCTTTAACTGAATTGGCATCAGTCGATCTTTTGCCGGGCACCACTTGGATGGTTAGACAAGCAATAAAAACATTTCCAAAAATGACACGATGTTTATGCTGCCAATTTTCAAGGCACAAAAGATTCTTAAACCAATTCAGGCTAAATACCAATTTAAAAGAAATTAAAAATACTGTTTCAGCAACAACTACTAATGACCTATAATGAACTTCTCTGTAAGGTGACATGAATCAAGCAACTGGAGTTCACAAGCAAAAACCTAAAGCAAATCTAGTCACACAGATGACCTGAAGAGCAATCACTTGGAATGACAGAGACAAACATGCTAGAAACATTTACACTTCAGATATATTTGTTACGGATGTGATGCTGAATCGGGATTAATTCCATTAGTATTGATTTTATACTGACGTATCTCCTGGAGCAATTCGTTGGGGAATCAAGCTCAGAGTTGTCTTTAAGATCCACCAAGACAAAAATGATCCCTCTGCAGTATATCCCACTGTATGTATAGGGATGGGTGGATTTTTTTTACCTCTTCTTTTTTTAATAATATACATTGCAACTATACTTGTGATTTCCTTTCATACATCCAACTGAACAGAAAAAGAATTAAGACATAAACATATTATAAAATTAATTTGCTTTTTAAAAGTAATACGGTCACAAAAAGCGAATTGGAGCATGTGAGCTCCAGAACATACAAAAGACCCAACTCTCTGAACATTGTCATTACAACAGAATAACCAAAGTCTGATGTCTGTGGTTCTTCACGCAGCTTTTGCAGCTCTTCACACAGTGGCAAGAAATGCTATGTATTTGTTTCTCCCAAGATGCCTTCCATCATATGCTAGGTCCCTCTGAATCCTTCTCTCCTGCAATGCCAACATCTGGTGAAAGTAACTTGTCTTCCAACTCTGCCAAATGTCAACTGACACTTTGCCAGGAGGCACCACCTCTTCTTATCTGGGTGTTGGCCATAGTCTTTTCGACGGAAACAAGCTAGGTGGTTTTACAGCCTGGCTGAGCATCAAGGCTGCTTACGGCGTAGATGAGGCGTGATACTTCACAAATGCAATTGCTGCCAGCTCTTTGCAGAATTCTTCCAGCACAATCACGCCCTCTAGTAATGTCATGTGGTCAATGCTGAGAAAGCAAAAAAAAAAAAAAATCAGGAGAGAATCAAGACTGACACACACAAAAAACGGCCTTGGAGAACGTGCAATGTATTTACTCACACGGGCCCTTCTGGCTCCAAGCCCAGCAGGCGTTTTCTGACCAGCAGAAGTTTGGGAGTGAAGTCTGGGATGCGCTGGATTCTGACCATGAGGTCCCCAACGACCTGTAAAGCACAATGCCATCAACACACAAAGTTGCAGAGTGCCTGGCAGCAAGCTCAAATGACAGCCTTCGGTGCCCAGGATGCAGCCCCACCTTCAGCACCCTCACAGGCTCACAAAACAACATGCACAGTGGCTGCTCTGCCCCCCAAAAAAGGTGGGTGAGCACAGAAAGTAGAGACACAAAAGGACTCTTGAGCCTTACGAGCTGTTGCCACAAATGGTATTACTTATCTGAATTATGCCGACGATTAATTTGTGTAAGTAAATGTTGATGCAGGCAACTGACCAGCAAATTCCTGGGTTTAGGGAAAGCACAAGGGGAGACAGTGAAGATTATATTTTGAAATGGGGAGGGCTGCTGGGAAAAAGGGAGCTAAGCCCTCTGTTAGTATTGGGCAAGCATCACTAATAGGCTCCTGACCGGCTTAGTAACAGCTGGTGCGTGGGGTAGGCAAGGGATCTCTGACTGAGAAGACTGCAGCACGACAGGCATCCAGCCAGCACTCCTAGGACGCAGCGCTGGCAGGACGAGGTGGAATCAGAGAAGGAAAGGAAGGGGACTTTCAATAAATCAAGGACTTCATTGTCAAGAACAGCCTTCATCGAAAAAAAAAGAGGATGAGCAGAGATATTCATCCAGGTACAGGGTATTCAGGAGCGTTCTTTGCTTGTGTGGGAATCATTCTCTTTCCCATCCAGGTGCAAACCTGTACTGGGCCTGTTCTCACAGCACTACCTGACGTTGCCTGCAAGTGACAACGTGACCTACTTCACTTTAAAGCAACGACATTGCCAGAGGGGTATTTTGCATCTACACAATGAAACTAAGCAAACAAACAATTTTCTAGACATGCAGAATGAAAATAAATGCCGGGAAATAAGTTTTCCAATGTTTTTGGTAGAATCCTGATTTTCAAATCAAGAGCCTAAGTATTTATTTTCAGTGAGAAGCGATTTCCCAACTTAAACTACCCACCAACTACTACCACTAACTACTGAATTGCTAAATATATCACTGCTGTACAGCTGTATGTAGATATTAACTGTGTGTTTACTCACCCTGACAATAACAGAGAAGAGAGACCTGCAGCCAGAAGCCAGGTTTACGTAAGGATCCAAAAGGTATTCATGTATATGAGGATGGGGGAACAAGGACAGTTTGGATAACACTGATGTAACTTGTAAATTTACATCATAGGGCTGCAAAACAAGGAAAACACAGTGCTTAGTTATCTTCATGATGGCTTCTTTCCATCCAGCCGGCACTTATTTAACTACCAGAACCTTATATACGGGGTTATGAATAAATAAAGATAAAAAACTACATTAGGAGACAGGCCCAAACTCCCTGCTTTCCACAACAGGAGTGATGCAAATATGACACTTAGGTATTAGATGTTATTATCGGTGTAACTGCTACAATCACTTGAAGCTTTTGCACACTTGTTTACTGTCGGGTTAACTCTTCTTCCTGTAAAGTATGTCTTCAGCTTAGGAGCTAAACAAATAGCGTAGAATCAGCCTAGATTAAACATCTGCTTGCTTCTCCTGCATAACTAAAGTATATGAGCTCAGGAAATTGAGAGAGACAATCCATGTTTACAGCTAATATGGTCTTTCTCTTCTACTTTCTTTTTTCTTGGAAAGAACCTTTGCAGAAGGCCTGGTCATCTTCTGGCAGCATGCTACAGGAGATGAGACAGTCCAAGGCTGGGAAAGCAGCATGAAATTCTGAGCTGCTTCTCTAACTCCTTTCCCCAAATCAACTCAGTGGGAGAGGCAACACTGTCAGATGCTGGAAGACGCTAATCAGTCATAAGGAAAAAAATAGTACCTAACTTTCTAGGGAAAAAAATAGAAACTCCAGTGAGAAGCTCATTTCCACAAAAGCAAGTATTTTCACCATAGCTTCTTTATATTCCCAGAACTTCTTTTTCCAACTTTGATATTCTCATCACAGCGAAAACAAGCTGACATTCTAATTCAGCCCAAAATTTGCAAACCAGTGGAATTTCCTTCCATCTATGCAGCGGTGGAACAGACTACGTTAACAAGAGGTGGAAGACATTCCCCTGGTACAGCCCTGTGCCAGCCTGAAGATGTTGCCAGCACCCCGACGGTTTAACTTAACCTTGTCGGTGTTACCTGAAGAGGATTACAGGGCCGTCATTCAATCTCTTTGACTGCACATTGGCAGTAACATCCTCAGTGACATAATCATACCTAGAAGAGGATGATTTAATGGCCTCAAATTATCATCTTTATGCTCTCAAGTTAGAAACCCACCGAAGAATCAAAGAACAGATTCTCCCCTTTTCCAGACAGTAAGATTTGGAAGAATTCACCTTCAGATTAAGGCAGGAATGTTTAGGTATCTCTACACGTCTAAGCTCGCATTAACCTACTCATTACTGATACACTTGCCTACATACACACCCCTCATGCCATCTCAGATTCTGCTGGTCTCTCGATGGTTCCACAGAGGGTGGATCCTGCAGGGTCTGAGTTGTAACCGCAAGCTTGCAGGAATCTCTTGGCCATCACAAAAATGGCAACAGATATCTCAGTTCAGGCAACCAAATCGAGCTTTCAGTCAACACAGTCAAGGACACCGAGATGGTGATTCACTTCACACTAAAAGAGACACCTACTTGCTTTTCAGTCTAACAGCTCCAGAGACTACGAGGGCTGTTCTGACAAAATTTCCACTGACTAGATGGGGACACCTAACTAATATTTAGGTACCTTATTCCTGAATTCATTACCATAGGCTGTTGCATTGCAAAGGGAGTTGTCTTACAGATCTTTTGAGGTGAAAGCACGTATTACTGCCAGCAGCAGTTATTTCTGTACTTGACATTCCAGCAATAAATCCATCCCAATCTTCTAACAAATTAAGCTTTCAGACCCGGACCAGAGATGTTACAAGTAAAAGAGATTGCTACGTTTTGAGTTATCGTGGAAAATAGAGAGACACAAATTCCTTCCATAAATCCATCCCACTGTCTACCTAGCTGAACTGTAGGAGAAGGTCTTTAGAGTTGTCTGAGTCAGAGTCTTCACTAGGAAGCTCTGAAGCCATGAGCATTAGCTGGTGTTCGCAAGAAGAGAAGGAAACGTAGTAGTAACACATGCTGCATTGTTCAGACAGATTGCTGTTGCGATTTGAACTAATTGAGAGCATTAAGGAAAGCTGCTCCTTCACGCACAGCTTTTACTTCTGTCCATATGTCAACAGACTCAGTAAGACAGCCTGATCTCAGATAACAGCCTAAAAAATTTCTCTATAACTAGAAGGCTTAAACCCAGCAAAATCTTCAGTTCAGGAAATTCTTACAAAATTTTTAGGAAAGAGTCAGTTCCACAGAAATGTATAATATTAACAGGAGGAAGGAGGTACTGTCTAGCAGATGAGGTACTGGATTTAACAGCCTTGAAACAAGTTACTTCACTTGTGTGCCTCAGCTATTTCTGTCAGAAACTAGGTTAATGATACCTGCCACCTCTGCAAAGTTTTCTGACATCAACTGATAAAAAATGATAAAAACACAAGAACTACCTGTATTATTGTGACAAAGCAAAAAAGACATTGAACACAGCCTGTTAGTAGCACTGTGTCTCCACTAAAGGTTTTGTTGGTGTGGGTTTTGGGTTTTTTCCCTATGTGATTTACATGTTTCACTGTGAATAACCCCTAGGAATTTTAGTTTGGTATGATACAGTAAGAATTTACCCCTTGTCTGATTCAGACAGTTAATTTTAATTCTTCTAGAGTCAAGAACCATTTTTGACACCACAGACCGTAACACCTTGCTTGATTAACCCAAAAGTCTGTCATGCTGACAGGCAGTATATCAAAATGGGCACTGTGCTTCCATGCCAGATGCCACTTTTGTTGTAATCATACATATCTGACACTCAGGTGTTTCTTGGGGGATGTAACTTGGGTTCTTTACTTTTTGTAATTTATGTGTCATTGCTCAGACAAAGTTCTCATATGTATGAGGCTTGTTTGTCCTAAGAGCTGATGATGTCCAGTTTTCTTCACGACTCAAACCTATAACCATTTCAGCTAGTGAAGTGAGCAGAAGCAAAACCCTGAGAATACCAGTATAGTACAGGAAGTATTTGGCTTTCTTTTCTGACTTCTGAATTATAAAAGTTGGTACTCTCAAACATCCTTCTCCCCTGAACACTCACAGAGCTGACCTAGAGGCCATTACTGGCTTCCTGACATGTTTCCTATGCATTTATATGTTCAAATGGCTCTTGTCCTGCTTATGTGCAGGAAATCTGGCACTACCCCAGCTAATTGTTTATTCTGTACATAGGTCCACAAACAAAACAGAAAAGAATTGTACAGACTTCTGAAACTGGTACTTCTGCATCTGTAGCAACGCCAGCTGGTATTACAGGGAGGGTAATCTAGACTTTCAGGGCTCATTTTCACCGGCAAGAAAAGTTATCTTCTTGGTCTGAAGCAGCAACATTGATTTGACTAACTTAATCCAGAGTTTAAAGAAGTCAAAGAAACAGTAAGTGTTCACAAAGGGCAACCTCCTCTTCACCTCCTCAAGCCTTCACTTTGCTTCTCTAGCAAACTGGCTAGGTCATGCAGGATGGCTAAATACCGAAACAGACATCAGGAAAATTCACTTGCTTTAAATTCCTTCGTACTGATCTGGGTCTGACATGTCACACCTCCTTTTCAGAACAAAAAGCCAGTCAGGTCATTATCTGATTTGTTTGCCCTTGGCAGCTATACTTTTATTATTTGAAGATAATCAAACAGGAAATTATATTGCAGATGGAAAACGGTACCTTCCAGAAACTTTCCATGCACTGATAAGAGTTTTTTCTAACAATGAAAAAATGGGGGAAATGTTAGCAGTGATATAGTAAGATATTTTCATCTTCCACAGTGACATAAACTGCTTCCAGAACCTGACTTCAGATTGAAGTGCACTGAAATGTGGCAGAAAGAAGCTGTACAGTATTTTATTTACTGAAATATGTACATGCTTTCAAAGAGTAAATGCTAGAAAATGAGAACAGAATCAGTGATGCTAGTACTGAAGGATTCCTAAGATACTACCTTACCCTCTTCTTTTACTTAAAGGATATTATTGTCTTCCTATTAATTTAAATTGTATTTCTGGTCAAGAAAATATTTGGTACACAAAAAGTGGTTAACAAAGATAAGAGGTTTTGTTCCCTACTTTTGTTGAGAATGCTGATCACTGTAACATCCTGCAATCTACAGACACCTGCACCAAGGACATGGCACATTACACAATAATACGATGCTATATAGACATCTGAGTGATGAGAACCACGGGACCTTGGGGATCAGCTCTTTAGTAGTGATGAAAGTATCAGAAATGGAATTCATAAACTGCTTTTCCTTACCTGATCAAGAATCCTGCCCATTCTTTCAAACAAGACTTTCAAGAAGTGTCCTTCAAAAAATGATGCTTCTAAATTGCACTTTTCTAAAGATCTGGGAGATCCAGGCCACTCCCACCGCAGGCAGATGACACAATAATCCCGGAACTGGAAAAAAGTAGTGAGGGACAGAGTCAAACCTCCACAGAAACCATTTATTTCCTTTTAATAGTCCATATGCCTTAAAACCATAATCTGTAGCTACATGAAAAGTCTCAGACCAAAAAGAACTTTCATTCTAAAATAAACATGAACAGTTTCGATGCAGGCACCTCAATTTCATCTTGACGTTCGTGCTATTATGGTAGTTTCAGAAACACACTGAGTGGAGAACAGGGCTCCCAAAAAGCAGCTGGGGCCAAAACACAAAGCAAAGCCAACAATACGCAACCTGATCAGGGTTCTTCTAAAGCAGCAATTGCCTTCATACACATTCTTGGCATCAGTACGTTACCACACTTCCACTGTATTATGTGTAGCTTATCTTCCCAGCCAATCTATATTGCTCCCTAATTCCCAGGACAGGAAAGGCATGTGCATATGCAGGAGACACAAATGGAAAAAGTACTTCACAGCTTCCTCTTCCCTCTCTTTGTTTCCTGTCACCCATAACAGCCTTTCTCAACCTCTGCCTCTGATTTTCTGTGGGCTGCCTGATGTCTCACTTTCAAGGAATTAAACCTTGAAAGGAGCACAGGTTATAGCAGTGAAGGTACATAGGAATAAAAAGTAGCAAGAGAGACAAAACAGACTCAGAAATTCTTCCCTGCATGTAGCTTACCTACTTGTGCAGCCTTCCAGGAACAGAAATATGGAAGCAGAACAGCTATTTGGGTGTAATAGCAGCAATAGGCAGGGCTATTCTTACGGGGGAAATATTTTAAGAGTAGCCATATCATTGTCAGGAAGTGACAGAAACCAATTCTGTTCTCTAATAACTCCCAGAATACTCTTTTTCCCAAGGCATGAAAGAAATACAAAGATGATATGTGTTTTCTGGCATCCAAGAATAGAACATAGGGGAATTTTACATCAACCTTTGTTTGTTTCCGTATTCTCTATTTTCTCTTCCCTTTCTTTTACAGGAGAGACTACAGATAAAACAATATAATAAATACAGAAATCCAAGCTTCCCATCTTAAACTGCTGATACTGTAATTCAGAGGTTATAGAATTTTTGAAGCACCTACTAAATATAGCGCTCTCGGTTAGTCTACTCCTTTGCATAATTTTTTCTATTCTAGAAGATGCACAGGGCTTCACTAGGAAAGCTGCAGATAAACAGTGATTGTCTTCTGACTAAGGAAACTTTAGATTATGATTGTAAAAGCAAAATCCACATTTATTTCGAAACAGTAAATCATAAAGCTTTTCCTACCTATCAAAACTCCCAACTTGTAACCTGAATGCCTTAGGCTGTGCCTTCCCTGTGATGAGCCTTTATTTTTAAAGTCCCAGATTGCATAACTCCTATGCAGCGTTTTAATTTCCCCTTAGTCCTTTCAAACAGCTTGGCAGGCAATTCTCCAAGAGAATGCAGATAAATGCAAAAGCAAATTAAGAATCTATCTGCAGTTCAGATCTTCTCTCAGTGTATTTATGAATATCAATGCATTTAATGTCATCCATTATTCCCACTAGAGTAATACAAGGTGGATTCACCGCCAAAAGGTCTCCACAGGTAACTTTTCATTAGAAAATAAAAATTTAATTTTCCCATCTTCCATTACCAAAAGATGCATTTAGTAGGTCTATTTATAGAACCACTTGTATATTCTCATAAGCATTTCAAATTCTCAAAGACTAAGGAAGATGTCACGGACTTACTTGTCTGTGGGCATCTCTGAGGTAAGTATCATAGCCTGTACCCTCCACATGGTACGATGACTTAGCTTCATCAGGTACCAGACAGAGAAAACTAAAGAGAAAAAAAGTACATTAATGAATATCTATAATCCACAGAGCACCAGATCAATATTTTCTCATCATCTGTAACAGTGTACACAATACTGCATTGTCTGGCCAACGAATCCACAGATTCTACCGTAACTTTATGTGAAGAACAGAGAATACAAAACCTGTTTAAGCATGTCTGTTCTAACTACCATTCGTAATAGCAAGATATATGCTTCAGAACTTTTCTACCTAGCAGTAGAGGTAAAAATCTCAGTGGCAGCATTTTTTGAGAATTAGCGGACAGAATGGAGATGAAAAGGAATATTCATAACCAGGCCAAGTATTTGCTAAAGGTCAGATTCCATCTTACTAGAGCAGATGGAAAAGTTACTGGGGAATAAATGAGCCAAAAGAAAAGGAGAATTACAGTTAAAATTCTTCATAACCTATTGCATAGGCAGTTTTATTTACCATAGCTTGTTGTGGCAAAAAATGAACATCTAAGAACATACAGGAATATTTGCATACAAATGTCCCAGTTACAAATACCATTGCCTTTGCCCAGGTATGCAGTGCAAATACTGTATGTCCTTATTACTTCATCAATATCTGACCTAAAACACATCAGGAAATTCTGAATTAGAGAGGAACTGTCTTAAAAATAAAATAAAATAAACCCCTAAAATTTCTGGACAGCAAATTAAACTCAGCCTTTGGAACCTGTTTCCAAATTTCAGCCTTATCCACACCCCAAGAACTGCTGGAGACTCCTGTAAGATTTATATACAGAAATATGCAGTATTGACTTTTAAATACAAATTTGCAAAACACTGCAAATCCTGAAAACATTCCTGTTCACTGATGGAGATTACATGAGGTGAATTTAGGAGACTGTTCTTTGTGTCTTTGCTCCAAACCATGTCCACCATAACTATAAATAGCAGTAGTGGGGGAAAGAGGGCAAGGAGTGACTATGCCATTCTATGCTGACTGTCCTTGGGCTGTTTGCTTCCTTTGGCTAACACCTTTGATTATTTCTGGGTAAACAGATAGAAATACCAGCGCTGCTTTGCCACCGTGCATTAACAGAGCAAACAGCATTTGTCCTAATACTAGTTGCTAAGAGAATTACCATCGCTAAGTTGCTTAGAGCAGAGTCTGTCCTCTTCGTGATATCCAATTTGCAGTACGTCTAACACGCACAAAGGTATGTTACAAGTGACAGAGCTGCTCCTTGATTCTCATGGAACAGAAGGTTATCTCTAGCCTGGCAATTATTTACTTCTATATATGTGTTTAAGGAACCTCAGGAATTTTGAGGGTTTTTTCCTCCAAAACGTTTATGGCAAGACTTGCCCAGGAAGGTCAAGTCCTGTAACAGCAAATTAAGTATTACAGCAAACATTCTTGAGAAAAGAAAGTTTTATAATCAACGAAGCTTTCATCATGAATTCTGAGTATTCAACCACAGTGTATAATAACTGAGTATTAGCTGTACTGTTCTTCTATTTTTCTCATTTATGCTGAATTATTTTTACTTATTGTAAGCTCTAATCTGTCAGGAGTAGCTTTCTGATAAAATGCCACATAATTTCCTTCTGTGGAGTCATTTTACCAGCTGGCACAGAATAACATCCATTAAGGAGTACATTTCATTTGCACAGTGTGTGCAGACACCCACACATTCAGAGATTTCTTTGAGTGTTTGTTTCAACTTACCTATTTACAATTTTATGAACTTCAGTCTTCCCATCATTTTTTGGATGTTCTGGACTGACAGGTGGAGAAGCACTGAGCCACTCTTGAGCTGACAACGTGTTATCTGGAGACAGATCAGTAAATAACGGATCTTCCTCCAGGTCTCTGTGAGATTATAGTAGACAAAAACATAACCATTCACAGTATGTTATGGAAGGCAGGAAAATCTCTGGGTCAAAAGGCATGCTTTCCATTTTTCTTCTCTGAAGAACTAAGATGTTTTCCAGAACGCTCTTATATGCGCATCTTTTAACCTAATTAATATGCAGAAATACCAGCCTTTACAAATAACAATAAACTTTGTTTTGAAGAAAAATTTAACTTGTTGATCTGAACAACGGAGCAGACATTTTTGATGCGTTCAAAATCACTGCACTGCATCACTTAAAACCCTTCAACCACATTTTTTACATGAGAGAGAGTTATACTCCAGGAAATAATTAGATTATTTCAGATGACTCAGAAATATCTAAATTAAGATGCCTAAAATAGCTGGTGTGATTAGTCCTTACCCCTCCATCAGTAAAAAAAGGAGTTACAAGAGATACGTAGCGTATTTAGGAGGATTTTATGTAGAGTGCCAGAAAAGTTCTTCCATTAAAAAATTATTCAAGAATATAAATGTAAGCAAGACACCAAAGTGATTGACTTCAAGAATAATCTCACTGAAAACAATACAAATATGCATAGACTTAAGCTAGGTAAATGCATAAGTAAATTGAGATATGAAGACCTTTGAGTGACTATCGTTCTGGAAAGAGGCTTTTGACAATTTTAGCTTTTCTGTTATTGTTCTCAAAATTTCCCTAAGTTCCTGATGTAATAATTTCTGCATCACTTTATGGATATGGATTAATACACAGAGCACTCAAAGTGCTATCTAGACTAACTTTTCTTTCAATTACTGAAAAAAACCCTGCTTTGTTCTACAAATAAGAATACAAGTTAGCTGTTGTGAAAACTTCCCCTAAAAAAGAAACTTACACCGCTCCTGCAATCTGTCCATTCTCTACCACATCTTTATCTTCTTGACAGAGTGGCTTGTATTCCATATAGTTTCTTTCTTCTAAATTCCTCAGAACCAAATTATAAAGAATGTGCTCATGGGGTTTTTGCAAAAGGTGCTCAAACATTCGCAAAGTCATTATGCTGATCTGCAACACAAAAGGTAAAAATTCAACACACTGATGCACCGCTGCCTTATGCTTTTTGCTTTCTATCTGGTTTGTAACTTTGTAACATTGCAATTACTTATTTACGTTATGGAAGGACGCAAAAATCCTAAGAAAAATTAGGAAATTGTAATGCTGAATGTGGTGAACATGGATGAAGAGTTCACACTGAGTGAAAATCAGAATGTGTATGTATTGTTTTCCCGTAAAACAAAAACTGTTCTAAAATCTGCCAAAATAACAATACAAAGAACACACAGAGAACTTACAACTTAGCTTTCCATATTACAATCAAATCCACACAAGAAGATGGTTATCGTTGTGCAAGTGAGACACAGAAGAGGAGGACTTAAAGTTAGCAATAAATATCCAGAACAAAACATAGTAATACTGGCAAGTTGTGACTAGAACTATAGGCTAAGATTTTTACATGGAGATATTACCTAGGCTTTTAAGAGGAGATTGACTTCAAGCAATACAGTTTTTAAAGACAGCTTCAGAGTGCTTAGCTAGGCAAAGATCAACTAGTTTATACAGATAACTCATTCTGACAGGGTGAGCAAGTAAGCATACTGAAAAAAAAGGATATTTGAAGGCATAGATCTGTATTTCAGGCAAGCTTGGGTTTTGTTTGAAAAAGTAGAGGGCAGAGTTTTTTTCATTGGAAAAAATGAAACAAGCAGCTCCTGTGGAGGGATTTTAGTAAAGTAAATTACTTTAACAATGTTTACTGTGTGTAAAGAGCTTAAAGCTATTATAAGATCTTTTAACTGGCATTGTGTATATTCTCTGACCATACTTTATATAAAAAATAGTAAGTTTTTAATGATACCTTATGCAGTAACATGACAGAATTGACACAACATGGAAAATAACAGCGATGCAACATATAACAAAGCACAAATTAGAAAGCAATTAGAGAAACTGATCTTGCTCTATCTTATAGATGAGCAAGGCCAACTAGATATGCACAGCGGGCAAGCAAATTTAGCAAAGAACCGTTATAATGAGAACAATGTGCTAGCTGGAGAAAACATCTTGACTTTCATGTTCTAAAGGGAATTGGTAGGGCTGCAGTCGGAGCGGTTTTCCTAGTCAAAAAAAGTTAGCAGACACAAACATAAGAAGACCTCACAACGGCATTTTTACAGACTCTAAGCAAGACAGAACTGGCCAGCAGACATCGTATCATCACCACTTCTCACCTCGTCAGAAATGTGATCACAGTGTTCGATTAACCTGTGTCGCAATGGGTGTCTGTTGATGTCTGCCAAAGTTTCTGGCTCTCTGTGTTCTCCAAGTATAAAATAAACTGTCTCCTGCAGCAGGACATCTGAAGTCACTTGGCGAACAATGCGATGCAACAGTGCAGTTGATGTGAGGATTCCGATCTCTGAACTGAACAAAAAAAAAACCTCATGTCAGATATGTAGTGGATTTCAGCTGAAAAAAAGAATCAGCTTGATTTAGATTCTGTTCTGCTGTGTCTTGCAGGATGCTACTCACGTTTGCATCAGCTGGGGTTCCATAACATCAATGAAAAATCGTTCCCGCACGGCTTTTGCCATAGCAACAGCAGCAGCCTGAAACAAAAGTACAAAATGGTATGTCTCAAACTCAAAAGCTAAGAAACAACTGGAAGCACTTATTTGCTGAATATATTTGTATTATCTGTAAACATTTCAAACCTTTTGTGCTTCTTTGATGAGTTGATCACAGTAGTCAAACCATGAAAGAAACGAAATCAATGCTCTTTTCCCTGGAAAAGCAGATGCATCTTCTTTATGGCTATAGGAATCCAAACTAGAGAACACAGGGAAAAATACTTATTTAGTCTACAAGTAATTGAAGAATCTTGGACTTCATTCTTATTGAACTTAACAGAATAAGTGAACATTAACATAGCTTTTCTGCTGGTCTCTATTAGTCTGGCAGTGCTATCATTATGCAGGTTTTCAGTGGCACACTAAAGGATGCACAGTATGTACAGCAGAACTCTGCTTAAGTATTTCGAGTCAGAAAGGAAAACTGATCACCTAGTCTGTTCTCCCAGGAAACACAGGCGTCAGAAACTGAATCAATAACTCCTGCAGTCAGAGAACCGAACCATAAAATTAAGGCAATTGTTCTTCTGTACTCTGTAAGCGACCTCAATCATGTCCACCAAAACTACACAGTGTACACCTGAACTAGATTGTATCTTTCAGAAAAAAACATGTATCTCAATTTAAAGGCTCTAAGGAATAACAAATTCACCATTTTCTTTGGTAAAGCAGTCCAATAACTATTTATCCCACTATTCAAAGTCGTGGTTTTTTCCCTACTAACTTTAATCTCCCAACCACTAAAAATTTTGGTAGCTATTTCACAAATACCTACTTTTTTGTCTCAGTACTAATAGATCACGAGCAATCCGTGATAATGAAGGCAGAGCGGGGAAAAGAATGTTTTGAGAATCTGACGCGCAAGCAGTTAGGATAACAGGCGTGTACCTTTTGCTTCACGCTGATGAGTTACGCAGTAACTCTTTCCTCCTTTTTTACTGCAAAAATTTTGCAACAACAACCTGTTATCAAAGACACCCTTCCTGCCCCCTGCAGCAGCTTACAGCGCTCACTGTGTACAGTGAAAAGTTCATGTTTCCTAAATCCTTGACATCTGAACAAGAAAATAAACTGTTCCTGATACTACAGCTACACCACCACAATCTGCTTACGTAATTCAGTGGAAAAACTTGCCCTCTGAGGAATCTCTGCAAGGGACTGGCAGCCAAATCTGGCCCCACGTCAGAAATCACACGTACACTGGACGCCCAAAGCCGTACCACTATACTGCAGCTGGTATCTCGGCTCTGCTCTTGGGACTCTAGCATGGGGGTGGGAATATTTTATGCATCTTATCTACCTATAGAAAATTAGTTTCAGGGAGGGGTGTAGAGTCACCTTGGGTATTAAATACAAAAATAAAATTCTTACCCCCAGTTAATTGCCTCCACTGTTTCAATGTCTAAGGGATCCAGTGACTGAGGCAGGGCTTTGTAGAGGGTGGCCAGCCTGTCTGTCAACAATTCACATAAACAAGTGCTTTGAGTCAGGCACTTGGCAGCTGCTGGTTCTGGCAAACTCACCAAAAGCATGAGGCCTTCACAGGCCTTCACTGCTATCCGGCCGTCCTGGCAGAAGGGCATGGAAGAATTAATCAGAGGGTGAATGAAGCTCACTTGAAATCAAGAAGCAAACATCTCCCAAATAAAACCTCTCCATTCCCCCACAGTGAGTGAATGCATTTATTTCTGTTGGCTTTTCAGCCATTAAAACCTAATTCCAGTGAATTTGCACGGTGCAAAATAAAGAATCTCACCCGAATCCATGTGAAATACTAAGAATGCAACTGCAACCTTCAGGCTGACCGAACTAGTGCTGTGGGTCAGCTTAAGACCAAGAAGATATTAGACAATGTAAACTATCACTTAACAGTAACGAGATACATCGGTAGATTTGCTTTTCCGCTCTCAACACTGCTGTAGCAATTACAGGCTTACCCAACCCTCCTCTTAAGTTTTCTGAAAGAATCTGAGTATGAATTTGAGGATGGAGCTGGGTAAGACATAGAACAGTAGTTTTTAAAAGAAATCAAACCTCTAGAGATAGCCCAGTGCCTTACAAAATAAGTGGGTTTGGTTAAGTCAGTACAATTGAAAATAGATTTTTAAATATTCTCTCGTGGTATATTTAGCCTAACAATTACCCAATGTAGCTTATCTGTGAAACATGCAGCATGCAACAAACTGCTCAAAAAACACATTACCATCAACAAACTTAATACTAATTTTCTAAAATAGTATTTTTACTTTAATCTGAATTGGCAAAGAAAATTGACAATTTACAAAAACTGCCTGCAAAACAAACCTCGTTTTACTTTTTATAGTTACAATACAGTGTGTGCATATGTGTACAGTCACTCCTGCTGCCCGCTTCACACAGCATCCAAACTATTTCATTTTATCACATTAAATAGAACAAAAAAACCCAACTCACGGGACTTTTAGTGAGGTTTAGTAGAGAATTCACTAAATTGTAGTCTTGATTTGGATAAATAGTGGAGGACTCAGGTGACGATGTGACATTTAGTTCATCCAGACTGAAAGAGAGATCGTCGGCCTGTTGCGGGAGGTCATCCTCCTTCTCCATTTGCTCTGCTCCAGCAGCACTAGGTGCTTCTTCAGGCTGAACAGGCTGTCCCGTGTCTGTTGTCAAAGAGTCTTGGCCTTTTAGCATGTCTTCTGTGATTACACTTGCTGATCCTTTCGAAGCCATTGCTTTTAACTTATTCTGCAAAGCATTTTTCAGAATTACACGGTTGAAATGACTGTTCATCCTGAAGCAGAAATTTACTAAAAGCAAGTTTTTTACATCAGCATTTGAAGTAGCTCTCTACAAGGCTGGATACAGAAACCATATAGAATGTAACAGGTTGTGGGGCGTGGGAGTTTTTAAATCTAGAACATTTTTTAATCTGCTTAAATGTCTCTTAAGCCCTGTACTATTTTGCTTCAAGGCTGAATATGCCATTTACTAAGAGAAGGCATCTTTTTCTCTCCACCACTGAAAGTACATATTCACTTGGTTTGCCCACTATTTGATAGAAGTTTTTCATTCACCTTATGAGTGCACCTTTGACCTTAGGACATACTATAAAACATCCCTTTCTAGCTCAAGGCCTCAAATTCATCTGATGTCTGAAACACTATTTCCAGTTGGAGTCATATAATTAAACTCATTCTAAACTTGCTGAGATTTTATCTTCAACAAGAAAGGGAAAAAAACCTCCATCTTTTATGACAGCAGAGTACTCTGAAGTTGTGTTCCTCATGAAGAAAAAGTTGAGTAGATTGAATGGGCAGAAGATACTAGAAGTTAGCATTGGGCACTGGATACTATAACAGATCACAGAGAACCTTCTCAGAAGCTACAAAGCATCTCTACTTAGCCTGAAAGCAAGCAACCCATCTGTCTTCCCATAAATCTGTCTCCAGCACATAAAAAGACATTTAAATTTGTGCTCTGTGATACCAAGAAGAAACTCACAGCACGGCAAGAATTCAGCGTTCTTCTGGCATAAGCACAGGTGAGTAATAGTTTATTAGAACCATAAATTAGACTCCAGTACAAGACATTTTTTCAAGTAAGTACAGTAGTGAGATTATAAATCCAAACGGTTCCCGTTCTCTAGGATAACACCAAAATTATTACAAACATATCCCAAGCATTAATAATTTAAAAGAGTAACCATTTGGGGTTAATGGCGTTTAATACATACAAACCAGCAGGGACTAACCACATGGCAGTCTCAGGCAGCAAGCTAGAGAACTGCTGTGAATGCTTGCTTGATTGATGCGCATTCATTGTGGAGAATTTGTACTAAATGTTGTGATACACTCATATAACCCATTCCCTGGAGAGGCGGCCCAGTGGCAAAAGCAGCACACTGCATGCTAGAAAATAAGTATGATTTTTGACTACGGTAAAAAAATTACTCCTTCAACATACATATTTTTTTTTTACAGTGTGAAATGCGTAAGGCTGCAAAGCAATGAAAATGTGTCTGTCTGAACCACGTCTGTCTATCCCTAAATCTTCTGAAGTCCTCCAGTATCCTCCTATATATTCTGTCAGCACACAGGAATATCTGAATCACAACAATGAGCCTTGCACGTAAAGCAGAACTGAAGAACTGCATTTCAATCCTGGATTATACACTGTTGCCAGCACTACTCAAGTGGCAGGCAGGGCTGCCAAAGATAAAACCCAGTTTTTTCAAAAATTAGATAATATTTTGTCAACTACTTATCTTACACTATTGCCTCTTGTCTGGACTCTTCTGTCATTTGCAAGGCCATAGTTTGTTTAGCCACGTCATCACGAGCAGAACGTACACATATAAATGTATAAACTCCCCTAGAAATTTGTCCGTAGCTTGTCACTCTTACGTTGGCAGGTAACACAAAGCAGACTGTACCACCAAACACCACATAGGCAGAGTTTTTGCGTGTATTTAAGCTTCCTAATCATGCAATTTGCAGCTTAGCTGCTCACCTGCCTCCTGTAAAGGTGCAAAACAGGATCCTGAGTGACCTAACAGAAAAGGTTACGTCAACACATATTCAATGCGTTCCAGACAAAGTATTCCTCTAAGTGAATTCAGCATCGACAGAGAGCAGACAATATAAAAATACATTTTTATGTTTTCATGATATGCAACTATCAGAGTTTCAAAATCCGTGGTGGACGATGCCATGCCTAAGTTCAGATAGAATTAAAAAGAATTCTGTGAAAAAACCAAGGGATATCACAGCTAATGAGAATCTACTTAATCCATGGCGAGAAATATGAAACTGGTAATTTGTAGCAATGAAAGTAAAAGTGAATAGTAGAACTATTGTTCATTTTATGAAACAAAGGTACAACTTTTTAACGGACACTATATTAGAACCTGTTTAAGGTCTCAAGAGCAGAAATGGGAACACAGAGAATCGGGTGTCCCTCTGCATGGAACAATCAGTTGCAAGGAGTATCTCGTTTAAGATGAGATGAGATACAATGGGACAACTAAGGAATAAATGAATAAGGAAAAACATGAGGTAACAAGTTTAGCATAAATTAATGACCGAGACAGATGTGGTAAGTCAAACATTCCTATGTGTGTTCTTTCTCTCTACACAAGGAACACCCAATTTAAAGAAAAGAATAAGTTGAAGGCAAAATAAAATTTGTATATGGATTTTAAAGGTTTAAAAATGTAGAATGTAGTTATTCCAATTCTTACTTCCACAACAAAAGTAACTTACCCAAGAGATACAGTTATGCCATATCGCCTGATTGGTTAAGCAATATAAGTGAAAGATTTTACTAAAATATAAACAGCATTCTATGAACGAACTATTTGATATGGAATCATACAAAAGGAAACCTGGGTTTGTACATACTCAGTTTTTTATGTTCATAGAATATTGTAGAAACTGACAGGAAAAGTCTAAGAATGAAGCAAAACTAACAGATACAGACAGACTACTTTGAAGAGATGTATCTGCATTTCAGTTTACAGGTGTTGGAGATTTGAGAGCTAAATGCCTTACAGAATTCTGTAAATTTACACTTTGGTGCATTTGAAGGTCAGAAATAGCTATCAAGCCACAACAACAGCACCTCTACGAGGCACAGATGTGAACAATCACAATATTCTATTCTAACAAAGGACGATTCTGCACCCCAAATACCTTATCTGGAAACAACTATCACAAGTTGTGAAGACATACGCCTTAGGCTACGACATTTAGAATAATGTTGCGAAGGAAACAAGAGCTACAAGAAACGTTCTTCAGCTTGACTGAACTCTATAGCCAGCATTTTGTGAAACACAAATCTCTTTGAAATCTGGAATCATCTGGTTTTCCAGGTCTGATCTGTAATATTGTAATCTTGCTATTTTGGGGAAGAACAACAACGTCTGACAAAACATTTGTGGTTCTCATGATTTGGATTCTCAGGTTTGATTTCAAGGGCATTATTTGAGCATAAGTGTCATTCACAGAGGGTTCTTTACAAACCATGCACCTCACACAAATGACATTAAAAGTAACCCTGGTTCGGACTCTACCACATTCTGCATGTAATGTATCTAGTAGTTTGCTTCTGAGTGCTTCCAATGTTTAAACACTAACTTTTCAATCCTTACACCGTATCTGCTGCTTGTACAACTACAGTGGATACGTGGCAATCAGGGTGCTATTTAATTAGGGCAAAAATAAATCCAAAATGGATTCTTACTACTGACTTTTAAGTGATATTCATATACTCAACAGAAAGCAACGTATCTTTGCATTTTAGCAGCCTCTGCTGTTACAGATCTTGTTTGCAGAAAGCTTGTAAAAAATTCCTGAAGGACTCTAGCTACATTTCACTTACGTATCACGTGCTTAATAGCTACTGTGTCACCATAGGAAACATCAAAGCGGGAGCAGAAGGCATTTCTAAATGGACTTTTACAAATTAAACTTTTATAGGCTCCTTCTGAAGGGGAACAGAAAGTCAGTCTAGAAATTCTTTTTTCTCCCACTCTGATTTCATCAATGCCACATGTTAAGTTTGAAGAGGGAGTAAAGATACTTGGCTTTGTTACAGATAGAAAATAATGTCATATTGTAGATTGTGAGCTGGCACTGCGGCTAGACCATATGTGCCACTACCACATAAGGGCCCAATCCTGCAGAACGCTTAGCAACTTGCAAGGTTTCAAAGCTCCATGCAATCTGTGCCTTAGGCTTTATTGGGCTGAAGACAAAACAACATAAGAAATCCAAGGTCTCTCTCACACAGTGTCCTACACTACAATTTGTGTCCCTACTCTAAAGGCACTTTCACTACAAAGGATAAGGACCTCACGCAGTTACATTTGTGAGCCCTGAACTAAATTCTAGTGAAAATAATCAGATGTATCAAGTCTCTGGAAACAACAACAAAACCCCATACTTCTAATATCACAGGAAAAAAAAAAATCACAGAGTGAATGAAAACGAAGCTATGAAGCACGATGTGATACCTCCAGTTCTGTATTTGCTTTTGTCTGTGACACCCTAAATACATCTGGAAAATTCTGATTTGATTCACTCACCTCAAGGAAGAAGTTGACCAGGTATGGATCCTGTTTCAGCTTTGCACATACTATACAGAGAAATTGAATTTCTTCATTTTCTGTTGGTGTTGCCAGAACTTCACCACACAGCCTGATTAATTTCTGTCACATAAGGAAAAGTGAACAATTAAGAGAGCTTAATTGTTAATTAAGAATTAAGTTACTGCTTTTTCTAGGAATGATGGACTGAATTCTTTTTCTACATACATACTACAATGATGTATGATTACTGACTCGAACATTTGCTGTAGATTTAGATTGCTATGAACAGGATTTCTTTATTACTTATGACTTGCATTGCAGTGGCATTTCAAGGCTCTAATCATCAATACATTTAAACTGATACTGCTCTCAAGCAGTTCCTCTAACTCACTTGACAATGGAATAATGAAAGATACCATTAGCTACACCAGAGTAAGGGAAACTTGTCATGCAAAAATATAGCTTACTTTAAGATTTTAACAGTACCTGCACTGGCCTATGCACATTTATGTGGGGAAGAAGAGGTTGCCGTATTCTTCCAAGAAGTTTTGTATAAAAAGCCAAAACTTGCTGTTTCATTCCTGGAGGACACTGAAACAAAACCGGATGAACAATAACAAAAATAGAAGAAATGCAGAGAGAAACATAGATGCAAATTTGTTGCTCAAAATGGCTAACCAAACACCAACAATTTATCCAAAGGTACTTTTTAAAAAATCCTACATTACTTTTAATAATATTAACAGAGAACAACAGAAAATGTTGCATCTCCTTACTGTTCTATTTTTCAAGTTGTTCATACTTTCAGTTAACTGCTCTAGTGCAGACTTCTACCAATATTTCCAGGAAATATTCCCTATCAATACAATGATAAGGGGAAATTAACTCTGAATTAATTGGCTACAGGTCAGCTGTCTCTTATGGTACTGTGCCACAAAATCCAGCAATTCAGTGAGTCAGGACATACCAATATACAATGATAAACTATAAACATCTTAATGTCTACAAAAGAGTTTTTGAATTAATGAGCAATCAACCTCAGACAGATAAAGGATTTATAAATGCACAGATGTTCCAGGACAAGAGAAAGCTGTAGTTTTTTTTTCAGAATATAAATCATAAATATCTGTGGAACATCCAGACCCTTTGTTCTACTGTCCCTCGTGCACCACGTCACATGACAGCACTTTCCTATCTCCATGAGATCTGATGGCTTGTGGTCCTTTACGTACCTTTGTTTCTAGCTAAATCCTCCCTGGCTCTAATACATTCTACCATGTTAATAATTGCTTAATTTTAACTCACATCATCTCCCTCATCTGGTTCACTCCATAGGTGAACGGAGCATGGGTGGCAACAGCCAGGAATGACAACTGCCAAGGTTATTATCCCTAGATTATGAATCCCCAACTATCACTGAGTTGCCAAGCAATCCGTTGAAAAGAATGGTAAAATGTGTACCATCAGGGTGCATCCACAGTAACGTAGTAAGTCTAAGAGATTGCTGTGAAATGATATTATTCTTTTTGCAACAGATCTTTGCAACATCCTACAAGCACTGAACTGTGTGTTTGCTTCAGATGTATCAACTCACAAGTGGCAAAGCGTAACAGCAGGTTGTACAAGAACTGCTTGTACAGGCACATTTGCATGAGTGCAAAATGACTTCTCTCAACTCTTAGAAACACACTACTACTGACCTGCTTCATATATGTCACCAGTTCATCTTGGATTTTGACAGTTTATAGATTACTGAATGAGCTGTATTCCTCAGCAAGTATGTTCAATACATCAGGTATCTTAGCCTGATCATAAGACAGCTGGTACAGTAACAGGAATTGTAGAGCTCTTCAGAGCAAGAAACATCCCAGGCGCAGACAGCTAGTACCCTACTTTGTCTATATATGTAAAATCGAGCAGATTAAAAACTCATGACAACATGTAAGAGGCTGACGGAGAAAGAGACCACAGAGAGCTCCATTTATGCTGGAACAGGATGCACCATACTTTCCAAAATGCATCTGCATCATGATACAAAAAATTCTAGCACGAGGGCTGCCAAGTTAATTCACCCTGTGATCTATCCAAGCCCACACCTTCCAGCTCTTAAGTCTGCCAAGAAAGATAGCAACAACAATGCATCAAGACCATGAAGATGATTTCACATGTGCCACACAGCAGGCATGAGAAGAACCAGACAACATTGCCAAGGGCTGCATTCATACCAAAAACTCGGATGTGAAAGCTGTCTGGGGATCAGCTTAAATTAATGCTTTCTGACACGGAAGTATTTCTGAGCAATAACTCACCACATTCAGAAAAATGTAACAAAATTTGTATATAATACAGCACTTTCACCCCAAAATCTCCCAACACTTAACAAGGGACAGAGAGGGATAATACTGTCTTGTCTAAGTCAGAAAAATTCTGGACTGAACAAAAATGTTTCTCCTACTTCTAGCTTCACAGTCAATACTATCAGAGTGGTGAGTAACAAATCTCAGGGTTCTGCCTTAGTCAGCATCTCACTGGTTGTCTCACTTTGATCACACTTGTAAAAGACTGTTATTCGTAATTTGTTGGTAACATAAGCTAACAGCTATTTGCTAGAGTTTGGTGTCCCACACTACCACCTACTGTAGAACTTCAGTCCCTATTACAACTAGGAGCTCACTCAAAAGATAATCTGCTCTGCTAAGAAGTACATACATCAGCTTTTCCTAGCGTGTAGAGTGTCTCCAAAATCTTGTGATGCAGCAAATATTCCATACATGGTCCTGTTTCGCCTGATTCCCTTTCATTTTCTTCTTGAACTAGAATATCCAACATCTGTTCCAGGTGAGAAGGAATGTTGGTATCAGTCACAGGAGCTTTGTCATCTAAATAAGAGAGATGCGCAATTAAGAATGATTAAAATATTGTCCCCACTTAAGTTCAGTTCCAAATTTAAGATGTAAAAACATGACTGCTCATGTAAGGAGTTTTATATATAGTATGTACATTTTTTCACATGTCTTAAATCAAATTTTCAGACCGTATCTGGAAATGTAAACTGGAAGATGCATTAGGCAGATATCTAACCTTGCAATGGAGAAAAACTGAAATACTAGATTTCAAAACATGCATCAATTACACAGCCAAAAAGGAAAATTTTTACAGGCAGAAATCAAGCTTAGGGAGCAAAAGGTTAAACTCTCAATCTTCTGGTTAGTATTCACCGTCTTGGTAACTTCCTCTTTGACTTTTCACACAGTATTCTGAAATGTATAAACAGCCTCTAACATCAGCTTAATTTGCAGGTGATCAGCTCCTTCACAAATTAGATAATAAATATTCTCACTTATTCTAAAAATTCTAATAATAACAACACAGAAAACTCAAAACTCTAGGCTGTTTATTCTTCAAAAGTTTTTAGATTTGTCTTTTATACTTTCTGCAGTAAGACAGCACTCTGTCAAACTTTATGAAGGAACGGGTAAGACTGATTTCATTATACTAAGGTCATGAAATTGCTGTGGATTTATGCCACTGGCAGTGGGAGCCAGCATTAACATGTTATAGAGCATGTCCACACATGCAGATTTTCCTTTTTATTTTTTTCAGCTAAATTCTACTTGAACAACTATCCCACTACGGAAACAGTTACTGCTTCTTATGCAACAGTCTAAAAATAACCGTCACTTGCATGCAAATGGCAACAAGACCACAAAGGAAAACTGCCATGTCAGAGTGATTTTGGTCTCCACAACCTCCAGTTAGCCTAGAGTGTTTCGCTTGAATTTCCTAGGCATAATTCTGCTCCCACTGCAGAGGACACAAATATACCCACTGAGTGGAAACTTGTTTTTCACATGACGTTTGAAAGCCTGGAGAGAGGTCAGCTTTTATTCTGCACCACATAATCACAGGTATCAGTTTTCCCCTGCCACCCTGTCATTTCTACCTTAGGAAACATCACATAGCGTTCCAAAAGATGAGTATTTAGAACCAAGGGTCGAGTTTCAGCTTGTACGAGTAAATATTGATATAAACAAGATCACCAGCCTCAGTCACAAACACCGATTCAATAGCTACTCTAGCAAAAATACAGAACTAATAAGCTTGAGGAACGCATGGTAACATTCACTTTTAAAACTTCATAGTTCAATAACTGGGACCAAAAATCAAAAATTTAAATGTTGCATAACTGTTGTAGGAAAACAGGGAAAAGTTTAAGAAAAACCAGCCACAGCCATAGCTCACCAGAATATCCATTTTTTAGAAGAACAGAATAAGGTCTGCATAAATTTTAATAAAATGTGTTCTAAACCTGCTCACAAATTCACTTTTCAGAGCTATGTTATCAAAATACCTTTCATGGAGACAAGACATTAAAGAAAAAATACCTAATACTGAGCACAGAGAATTCATATACGCATGATAAAATCTATGACCACAAAATTACTTTTGTTAAAACCTTGGAAAGAAAAAGAAAATCCCGGACACAAAACAATAAAAAGGTTAACAGCAGGGACTACGTTTCCGTAGTTGTCTGTTTAGATTAAACAGAATATGTGAAGACAGAAATTGGGTTGGACGTGAAAAGGTAAAATTCTCCACATGGTACTCAGGAAAAAAGGAAAGGAGACCGTCCCTCAATCGTTTTTCATGCCTACTTTTTAAGGGATGAATGGAGGTACACAGTATTTTTAATTACTATTATTGTTGGTATTTTGATAAAAGGCATGACTCAATTTAGGATTTCTTAACCTTTTCTTTTTAATACTGAAACTGGGAGCTCCAGTTTTCACAATAAAAAGACAAATGCAGTATGTTTTCTTCTTTTACCTGACGTCTCTATGTAGTAGTGGGTAATTGCTTTCCAGTGGTAAACGAAATCTTCCTGTAATGGAAGGGAAGGTGCGAGCTATGGAGAAAAAAAATACAAACAAAAACCAGTTAGGAATAAAATATACATATTTCCTTAGAGATTAAATTGAATTTTATCTTACACTTGGAAGTAAACTGCTGCAGACTAGTGCTACAGTTCCTACGCTGTGCTCTTTTACCTTTAACAAGGACGACATACATTATTCACGGCACGAGCCCCATGTCATACGGCCTACCTTGTGAACATCAGTAATAATCTCTGTGATGTCTCCATGACCAGACAATCTATTTGAAGCCACAAAAGCAATTGCTCATACAGCAAAGCAACACTAGAAGCGTAGGTTCAAACTGTTTAGATCTCAGAGTTTTGTCCTGTAGGAAAAAATCATGTTCTTTTACATCTGCTCTTGATGCCATCTTCCCGTTCTGTACGCTCTGTTCTCCTCTCTCCCTCTGCTCCCTTAGAAATACCAATTAGCTGCTTCATACAGGTTTTGTCATGCTTTTTCTTCCCTGTTAACCACAACCTTTACAAGAGCTCTGTTTCCTTTTTTTTGCACATCAGGCCCATCCTCAAGAGTTTGACAGGTAGAGTGGGTTTTTTTGTTTTGTTTTTGGTTTTAACAAATACATTTCTTATTTCATTTCTGAAAGAAAAGGAAGTTTCTTCTTTTCTGAAGGAATTTGGGATGACCAGTTTGGCATGACTGGAATCCAGGAACAACATGCTGCAAGCATAAAACACCGCCTCCCACCCAGTCAACATTAGTACTGCTCCTTTGTCACCGAGCTTGAAAACTGGGTGCCGTGTGGTCTGTTACACCACAGGCACAAACAACTGCTACACCATAGGCAGCATGTGAAAAAAGGGCCATGATTGTTTTACCACTCTGCTCCCCAAAGTGAGAGTTGAGGCAAACACTGAATTTGTGACCACAATATAAAAAGTTCAGAACTGGTAAAATCAGGAATCCTATAGAGAAAACCCTCACCACTCAACAGATCACATGAGGGTCTGTTGTTACTAATCCTACTTGCCTGAGGCTTTCTTTTGACAACCAAGTGCTCAAGTCATTCTTTTATAGCAATCATGAAATAAAGTGCTATCACTTGAGATGGTGGTAGAAATGAGACCTGTTGGCAAACAGAAAGAATCCCATGTATAAGTTGGTGTGCCCACGTTTGACAGATAAGGAGCTGAACCATCCTGACAAGCTACCGAGTCCAGTCCTTCACAGACAGTGCCTGAGGCTGGAAGGGACCTCTGGAGGGCATCAGGCCCAACCCCCCTGCTCAAGCAGGGCCACCTACAGCCAGTTGCCCAGGACCATGTCCAGATGGCTTCTGAATACCTCAAAGGACAGAGATTCCACAACCTCTCCAGGAACCACTGCCAGGGCTCAGTCACCCCCACAGTGAAAAAGTTTTCCCCCCTTTATCTTGGTAAAGACCTAAAGCCCAGTACCTGAACAGCAAGCCCTGCTGTGATAAAAAAGTGGAACGCTAATTGTTAATGACCCTTCGCACACAGGACTTTGAAATGCAAGACTTGAAAAAGCAGTGGTGCTTGGTAACTATCTATGCCTGTACTTTGTGTGGAAATGTGCCCTCACCAGTGGCAACTAGGAAATCAAACTGACATTGCTTATCCACTCCCTGACAGTCTGGGGACTCATTAAGTCTTCCGTATTTCCACAGCCGGGCCCTGAGTAGCACTTTAGCACACCAGCTACCACAGAATAAACACCAGGACACCGCACACGAGACGAAACTTGTTTATTTCATTATGAAGTTTACTAGGTTACTGAAATTCAGAAGAATAACTAAACAAACTGAATACTGAGCATATGATAGTTTGTATAATGCTTCATATATTGCACTTGCTGCTGTAGATGTGTATTTCAAGCAATGTCATGATCATTTTGCATCTTTCTGTAATAAAACTATACCGGAAACTCAACTCTGGCTGATGAATAGCCCAGAGACCACTTTTGAGGAATACCAGGCCTTTCAGACCACTCTATTTCCAAAGTAACACACGATAGATAACATTAAAGATTTATCCTTGACTGATGTGATTTTCCTCTTCACTTCTTCTAGCCTCATCTGCCTCAAGATGAATTTAGTGCCTCTGAGCAGTGCCAGGAAAAGGATTTCACTTCTCAGTCCTGTCAATAATTTATCCATCTCAGGAGAGAACTGTGGATACAGACATTCTCCCTCCTGACAAATGCCTCCAGGGACTCTTCTCAGAAGAGAAAAGGTAATTCAGGGACAGGTCCTGCCCTTTTCAATTAAATACTCAGTGACTTCACAGAGACTTCCCCGATCGAGGACTGCAAGACAGAGACCAAACAGAAATACCATTAGCATGTGTGTGTACCTGTGCATGTGTACCTGCATGCCTACTGGGAACATACAATCAACCTTGCCACCAACTGGACCTGGTGACACAGAGCTGCGGGAGCTTCGCCTGCATTGGGCTACCAGACTCAGCAACTCCTAACAATACAGAAAACTCGTATTTCTTTACTTGGTCAGCTGAAGTACCCCTACCCCCAAATACTCCCACCTCCCAACTCCTCTTCTCACTGCAAATGGACCTAGTATAAACTTGCTTTTTACAGCACAGCTACTCCAGGGCATATCTAACACAGATGTATGCTATGCATTAATCTGAGATAAGTGCTTCAAAAAACCGAAGAAACCCCCAACCCTATTAACTTAGTTATTCCGACACAAAATCAAGGTAAAGACCAAGATTAAGATACCAGTTTATACACAAACAAAGCCCAGAACTGGAAAGCAATAGAAAAATGTAAACTCCCAAACATTTGGTTTACATGCTTTAACCCTACTAGGACAGGAAACTCTAGGATGAAGTTGTAGTTTCTATTTTAGGATGAAAGATTAGCTACCAGCTGAGATGAAATATATGTTACAATTGCCAACCTGAATAATCACTCTTTTATAAAAGTAAATACACTTGTACAAAGATTCTGAAGCAAAACAAAATTAATTGTAAAGACCATAACTCCTGCTATTTGCCCAATTTGAAGGAGCTACCTTAGATGTGCAGTTATTTCTCACAGTTATATTAATTCACTTTGACGTAAATAAGTAGGTTCTTACTAATTTTGAGCTACGGATTCCTAATCTCAAAGCGCAGTTCTCCTCATTTGGGGGGGAAAAAAAAACCCAACATCTTAAAAGATTGCAGTGTAGGTGTTGGTATATCAAATAGCCAAAACTCACTGAACACTACTGAAAAACAGCCCGTTTGAACAGACATTGATTAGCTCTTCCATCTGGTCCCCAACTCCAGCAGTCGAGCTTCCTGGGAGTGAGCGAGCGAGTGTTCTCATTTAGGAGCTAAACTTAACACATGCTGCCTTATCATTCTGGTGACAATACGTTACTAATGATCAAATCCCCCTCCTTCCAGGAAAAGTGCTGTTCTCAGGAGATCTTTGACCAGAATTATAGTCCGCTCGTTATAAAATCTGCCCAAAATACAACTTCACGTAGTTTTCAAAAGTATATAGAATTTGTGCTTAGGCAGGAAAAAAAAAACACATCATGAGCAAAGAAACCTATAAATATTCAGTATTTAACAGCAATTCCTTTGTGCTTGTAAAAATCTTTGTATTTTTCATGTATGCTTTTCAGAAGTGTAATTCAATACCAAAAAGAATGGGAACAATGGAAGCTGGTGATATCCCTCAGTATCTTTTGGACAAGTTCACCAAGTAAAGAAAACACTGTGTGAAAGAAGAACAGGTAGTGTTTGGTCAGATGACAGAGGAAAAAAGAAAGCAGAAACTGGGTCAAAAAGAAACGAAAGGGAAGTGCACACACACTCCCCTGACTGAAACAAGGAAAACTACAGCAGTCACTCAACGTTTTTCTTCGATGTTACTACTTCACTTGCGTGAATGTCTGCCCTGAGGGAAAATCTGTAAAAGGACTAATGCTTGAAGGTTTACTTCATTTTTTCAGTTGATGGATGCACAGAGTTTATAGCGGTCATTGCTTTCACGTATAAAATTAAGACGGCACATGCTTGCAAGCCACGCATTAAATTTTGTCATCATCATTTGTTATTAGCAGCACAATGATAAAAACAATCAGTAATGCGAGGTCATTGCATCAAATAAAGTGGGTTCAAGAAGAATGAATCTTGTTCTGAGCAGTTCTGCAGTTAATGATTTTGGAGCACCACCTGTAGCAGGTGACTCGCTATCTTTCAAAGCTCAGTTCTGCCTCAAAACATGAACAGAAAAGAAGCTACTTAAAAGCATGTTAAGGTATCAGTGTAAAAGATACAGTGGAATAATAGGTTGGTGGACAGGGGTCCCAAAAAAGGTGCAGCAGACACCAGAATCTAAATTTACTCCCAGATATCAAGAGAGTGACACAAATAATCTTGTTTGACAGCAAATTGCAAAAGTCAAAATAACCAAAATCATATTGATCCTGATCAAGGTACACAGCTCAAAAACATCCTTTTGAGTTGATTGTTAAGATGAAACATACCCTGAAAGCCCAAATCAAACACAAACAAAAGTCCTTTGAACACCGAGTGACCACTTTACAGACAAGCTATTTTGTCTAGGGAAACATGAGTGAAGAGCACAAGATAAGAGAAAAAAATCAGTCCACTTTGCTGCTTTGCTATTGTGTACCGCATTTTGTATGTTGCTGAGAACGTAGCACTCCTGGAATACATTTGGGATACAAGTATATCAGAAATGCATAGCAAAGAGAAAACATCTTGGGGACAAGCCATATATAAACTGTCCCAGATTCATTAATATTAACCCCATAGAGCCACAACATTTCTATTCTGTTCTGAAATAAGGTAACGGAACAAAGACTGCAGTCACACCCAATCGAATTCAAGGATGCTCTGTTGGGAGGACACCACAGCGGTGCCTGCTACTCTGGATGCTGCAGAGAAATCCAGAAAGGGCAAAAATATCTAAAATACTGGCAGGATTGCCATATGATAAGAGGTGGCAAAAATTAGGATTCAGT